TGCATCCACGACAAAATCTGCCGGTGGTGATTGATAGGCGATTAGCATCAAGTGGGTAAACCACCCCATGAAGCTTGCTTCACCACTGTGAATGAAAGACATACGTGTAGGCCTAAACCATAGCTGTGCGCGCACTTGCTGTTGCAACTTGAATCACTGTGCATGAAAGGCAGACTTACAAAACAAACCACATTGTGTTTGCACATGCTGATGCGTATCAGCCAACCGGCAAAAAAGGCTATATGATGTGCATATGCTTGTGCTGACAGTGTATGTTAGACAGCTCTTTCTTCCCCATTGTGCTTGTGCGTGTCGCGTCGTTCATATTGTTCTTTCTTGTTGGATTGCTTATGGCAGCAATGACGATTAATACAGAGGCGCAGCGCTGTTCTCTGATGTGTCATAGATCACTTGGCCGCGTTCTATTTGCAGGAAGACATGACGGTGGATGCACCGGCGCTTAAAGCTCACATATCACGCGGTCGGGGTATTGCCTGTCTGCTTTCTTGGTGTGTTCTGCAGGGCAGCCCAACAGAACTCTCAGAAACAGAATGGAGCGATTCTGAAACAACCATCGTGGCAAAATAGAAATCATGCTTTGCGAGCTCCTCGCCCATGCATGCTGATGCTCATGCTGAAGCGTTTGCCACAGGAACCGTTGCAACCACCCAAGGCTGCATCAAAACAATCCGGTGGGCAAAAGTCGCGTGGGCTCAATAGCAAGTTGTCCAACGGGTCTATAACTTTCAGGCACAAGCTTCCAGCAGCTTTCAGGTGGAAATTTTCAAATGGCAAAAGATTACCGACTGCTCGCAAAGTTACACTGAGAGAAGTACCTGTTGTGCCGGTGATGAAACGGATGTTTTCGCGATGATGAGGGGCCGGGGTCGGCAAACAGCCAAGGCTGTAACAATAGTTTTCATGACTGTAGGCAGCAGCTGCTCCAGAGGTAGATGCCTAAGTTCAAGGTGCCTCGCAAAGAATTTATGTGCATGTTCTATAGGTATGTGTTTTTGGCTGTGCACTGATTGGTTTCCTGTGATAAAAATCTTGCTGTGCTAATAGAGCGTGTGTAGGATGACCTGTGTGCGAGAAGCTGTCTCCAAACTTGATTACCACGGCCACGGCTGTTGATCTCACCGCGCCACTTAAACGTGACTGTCCATGCGATAGGATACCACTTGCTCGCTGCATTTTTGTTCTTCATTGTGCTTTTCTGCTGCAAGGATGGGGAAATCCATCGGCGCCAGGCCTACCACATGCTCCAGCCTGTGTACTGCTGTGAAGCCGGTCATCAAAGCTGGATACAGCATGTCATGAGTTGCGACCCAAGTTGACAGACACACCACTTCGCCAAACAATTTTGCAGGAGTATCAGCCGCACTTGAGGCACACACCTGCCCCCTCCAGCATCAAATTACGGGCAAGCGTGTTACCAATGCAACTGCTCATGCATTGGTACCCTTTCTTTGCTAGTCAGGTGGCACCGAAATATATTTATACAAAGTGTGACGAGGCTGTAAGAACATGTGTTCCCTTCAGCTCCAGCATCCCAGAATCCCATTGCTGCTTCACAGGTATACTTACCCCGCCCGACACAGGCTCCAGAACACTTTGCCATTAAGGACAATGAAGCGTACGAGCCTACATACAAGGGTGACAGACATAGTTATACAACTCTTACTGATTCACACGTGCGTCCTTCATGCTCATCGCAAGTTCCAACGGCTCTTGCCGTTGAGGTGTGCTGTACCTTTTTGTTTCGATTCTTCTTTGTGTGAAAAAACAATATGCGTACCAGGACAATATGAAGGCGGACGCGCGTGATCATGAAAGCATAATTGAAACATATATGAAGAGGGAGGTACATCGAAAGGATGTGATGTGACTTGCCGCACCATGGCCATCGAGATATTGTGTGTGCGTGACGCACAACTCCGCAATCGCTTACTCGGTGTCGCATTGATCATGCAAATGAATCTACCTGATGAACTCTATGAAAAATACAAGGTGTGGCTGTGTGGCTTGTTGTGATATGCACGGTTGGTTTACTTGTTGCCTTGAATTTGGGGTTTTGATTGCCTGGGCCAGGTTGGCCTGCGAAAATTCTTACACGCAGCAGTAGAGGAGGATGTCGACGTCCCGCAATTGCGCTTTGCGCTTCGCAAAGGGAAGCTGCTGCTAACGCCTAAGCTTGTAACGCAAGAAATTTTAGAAGGCCTGCTATTGTTGTTTCTGACCTTGTGATGAATTTCAAAAGTTGGTTAGACAAGAACATCGCATGCAATTGCAGATCTTCGCGATGAAGAATTCGATGAAATGGAAGATCTGAACCACATGGAAAGATCGGACAGCGCTTATGACCAAGAGGCCCTGCAATTATTGCATTCAGTTTTATGTGTCGCTGATAGCGCGTGTGCTTTGTCAGGTCTATAGGTCCGCGTGCCCCCAAGGTGATATATTGAAGATTACCGGGGTCCATCATTGGAGGTGATCCAGAAGAGCCGCGAAGATGCCATGAAGTAGCTGTGTGACCTTTGAAGTTGTTCCATGCTACAGGAACTAAAAGTCCGAACGCCAAAAGAAATATCGGAAGATGACAGTGCTGTGATGTAAGCAGCCTCCCGTGCGAGGCTATGCAAGGTGACCTAGCTCGCGTGGGGTTAGAATGACAGATGCGGTATTTGCCACTGCTTAGCATCGTGAGCTTACGGATGGAAAAAAAAAATGTATAGCACAACATGCTGCAACTCGTGGTGATGTGTCTTTGCTCGCATGTGTTGCTCATGTGATTCTAACGGCCGCCAATTAGGAATGTGAGCACCGGTCCATCCTGACCGATATATGACCAGTTGACTTGTTGTGTTTTCTCACGCTAACTTGTGAGCCACTTGTGTGCTTTCTTTTTTTTTTTCTGCTGGATTTGCTGCTACAGCGCAGTGGGTCCACTGATGGCTGTGCTATGGGCTGATATTGCCGAGCCTTGTAGCAATCACGATTTGGGGCCATGGCCATTGCAGCCGGGACCCCTCGCGGGCAAGGTGCCCATCCGCGTGCCTGTGCACATCACAAAGCAGCAACAAGATGTCAGTAAGATGACCCATGACGGGATCAATATTGCTTGCCGGTGCAAAGGGCACACTGTCAAGACGGCCAAAGAGGCCCAGTCAACCGTGAAGTGAAACCGTGAGCAATATGTTGGTTGGGGTAATAACATAATCTTTGTCTTCACAAGGGATCAAAATTTGCCACCCCCTATGGGCAATATGTTGATTGGGGTAATAACATCATCTTCATCGTTATAAGAGATCAAAATTCGCCACCCCCTATGAACAATATTTTGATTGGGTGAATAACATCAACTCTATCTTCATAGCCACCTGAAGTCAGACGCGGAGCAACGTCAGGGTTGCAGCGTACATGTATTTACATATTATATATATATATGTGTGTGTGTGTGTTTCCGGGCAATAAAGAAAATAACAGTTTGGGTTCGTGTAAGAGCAACTCCCAAGAGTTTTCCCTGCTGCCGTGCTGCCGGGCAGCTACCAGCTTCCAGCAGGTTGCTGTTCGATCCTCTTTGGATTGGTTTACCCTCTGAACAAAAGGGGGCCATGGAAAATCTCTCACTGAGAGTTGATTTACCCTCTGGTAAACCTACAAAAAACTATGGAAAATCACAACTTTTAATGGGTAAATCAACTATAAATGGGTCATGTTCAATAGCTATGTAAACGTTTACCAGAGATTTATCTTGATTTTCGCCGTAAAAGCCTCCTTTTTTTCGGGGCTGGGATATCCCAGCCATGTTTGATGACAGGTAGATCCTTCATCCACCAGATTTTGCTCAACTGAGGTCACGATGTCGAGCTTCTGAAATCGCTGCACGACTCCCACTATGTCTACGACGCTGAAAGCGCCAGTTGGACGGTGGCCGGAAAGATGGCCCATCCTGGGCGCCATTAGCCTCCAAAACCTTCGGCTTTGGCGATGGCGGGGATCCCAACTTCGCAGCTGCAAGCAGATCTTCTACCATCACCTGAATGGCATCCTCAAGTTGTGTCCCATGCACGGACAGAAACAGAAGATATCAGAAGACAAAGGGACTTGCGCGGTGCGAAGGGATTCAGTCACCATTGCGAGATGCAAAAAGATTGTCCCCCAGCTGTTCACGGCAGCATCACAGCATTCTGGCGTGTGGACAGATGAAACCACCAGTCTTCTAAGGGCTGAACCCAACGGCTTAGCAACCAATTTGATGATTGTGAATTGTGAGGTAGGACAAGGGCCGCTCCAGTTGCGGAAGGTTTGTTCCATTTGTTTAATACCAATTCTTGCTGGTTTCCACACACAGTGGAAAGTCTACCTAATGGGGTAGAGGGCAGGGTATGACAGGCGCCCTTGCCCATAAAGGGGCCCAAAAACACACCCTGGAGGCCAAAACAATCCAAAAGAATCCAAAGCGTCCAAAATGCATATAAATTAAATATTACATAATATTACATATTATAGTTATTTATATATATATATACATACGCATATAAACTTTTAAAGTGGTGAACACCAAAAAACACCACAACAGTCTTTCCACGACTTGCCACCGCGGTCAACTCGGGGACGATCGGCTTGACATGGCACCAGGTGCCACTGAGCTGCTTGAGCGCATTCGCAGTGCCTTGCGTTCTCGCGGGCCGGATGCCGTGAAGCTACTGACCCGCAGGTCAGTCCCGATCTGAGCTGATCTGGGACTGGGAAGGCCGTGACGTAGACGCCAAAATCCTCCAAGATTGGTGATTCTTGATATACTTTGATATGAAAAATGAAAATACATGAAATATCAACAAGCTTTGTCTCTCTCGGCCAGGAAGTACCATGGCGCAAATCCTCCAGCATTTCTGAAGATTTCTGAAAGATCCTGGGAGACTCTACTGGACTCATATGGATCCAGAAGAATCCTAGATCTTCCAAGTGTTGTTCAAAAAAAGTGGTGAGAGATTTTCAGAAACTATGGGTCAAGATTGGGTAGCCTGTGGTAAAGTAACATAGCTATGGAAAATCACTATGCTATTAATGGGTAAATCCACTATTTCGACTGGGCCATTTTCAATAGCTATGTAAACGTTTACCAGAGGATATTTTCAGTATCTTGTCATATCTCATCATTATAAATCATAGTATCATCATTTCGGTGAAACCGCATTTCGATGAAACCGCATTTCGGGTCAAGATTGGGCATTGGTGAAAAAAATCGACATCCCCAGGTCTTCAACTGCCCAGATTCTGGTCAGGTTTCAGCAGGAGAAAGGACGAGGACTTGGCCCTAAGGAGCGGTGGAAAAACCCACCATGGGAAAACCCAGCATTTTTTAGTAGATCCGTTTTTTTGGGGGGGAAACCATGGGTGTTCCATTTTTGTGTATGTTTACCCTGGGGGAATTGATTTTACCATCATTAAAATGTTTTTTTTACTGGGGATATAGTTCTGATATGATGGATAAACTTGGGATATTCTTTATGAATTAAGTTGTGACCTCACGTCGTAATGTCACTGAAATGATGGTGAATGTAAGGGGAGTCACCCCCAAATGGCTGCACAGTTCATCATTGATAGGGGTTTTGGCGAATTTTGACCAAAAATATGAAGGGTACAGTTGATACTGTTTTCAATAGCAGGTTTGCCCACACACCTCCCTGGATAGCTGCAAGCACTGGGGCAGCCGATTCTTGAGGGCTCCAGCTACTGATAATGGTTTGGGGCTTATATATCCAATATATTGGGAGGTGTTGTTTCCTCCTTACATATGCGTCAAGTTACATGTGGCTTTTCCATAGGGAATGTCATCCCCGAGAACAAGGTGTAAATATAGCCATTGATTGGAGAATCAGATTGATGATGGTGGTGTATGGTCACTTACTTGTACCCATCATAGCCCATTTACCAATATAAAACCATGTCACCAATATTCTCATATTTTGTCAAATGTTCGCACTTGAGTTCCGCGCTTCGGGCAAAGATTTTGTATAGTGACTAAGTGATCCTCAAAGTTCTAGATGACAGATGCCAAATCAATCCGAATGACCTTGCTTGAACCAAGTGTTATAGAGGCAAGATGTTTACATGATCCTTACAGGATTACTATATTCGGATTAAGTACAATAAAACGATATTAGCATACATTGGGATTGTACAACATTATATATCATAATAACAGTAGGATTATCATGGAGTATCCACATCATTTTTTATATTTGATAATAAGTGATCATTAATCATATCATCATGGATTATCCACATAACAGTAGGATTATCGAAGGAAGTTTAGAAGTCAAACTTCCGACAATATGGACAGATGAAAAGCAGAGATGGGAAGAGTCAGAGAGAAGAGAAGAGTAGAAGAGAGAAGATCAGAGAAGAGAAAGAGTCAGAAGAAAGAAGATGAAGGTGCGCGAAAAGGTAGGAAAGTCGCGAAACACTGTGTTTTTCCAATGATGTGTGGCTCCGGAGGGTCGAAAAGTAGGCTAGCTAAAGCGGCGGGCGCGGAGCCATCTGGCCAGATGAGAGATGAAAAATTTCACGCCGCTGTGGCACATTTCGAAGTCAAAATGTACAAAGCACACCAGCTTCGGACCACTTTTCGAAGTTGCGACGTCGAAAAAGTGCACGCCGTTGTGGCGCGAAGCACATTTCGAAGTCAAAATGTGCAAAGCGCACCAGCTTCGGACCACTTTTGGAAGTTGCGATGTCGAAAAAGTGCACGCCGTTGTGGTGCGAAGCACATTTCGAAGTCAAAATGTACAAAGCGCACCAGCTTCGGACCACTTTTGGGCATTCAGATGTCGTTTCGCGTGGCAGGCGCAAGGGATTGCCTTGTCAAAAGTGAGCAAAACGTGAGGGCTTTGTAGCATTGCCAAAAACGATGGCAGGCGTGGGACATTTGAAGAGGATCTGCGAAGATGCATTTTCCGTGGCAGGCGCAGTACAAGAGACGTCTTCATCAGAGCTGTTAGGAGGTCCAGGCGCTGATTTCCTGAGAGGGGTTGCATTTTGGAGCCTCAGATCTTCAGGTTTGCTGAGATGATTTTGCGTGACAGGTGCAGCACTTCGTATGACCTGGCATCACTTTTTCTTGGTAGGCGCAGTAGTTTAGACAGATGGGCTGGAAAAATAGCAAAACGCATTGGCACGAGGCCGTCAGCTCTGCACTCAACTTTCCATGTTTGAAGGATGTCTCGCAGAATTGCTTCGTTTTTGATGTTGTCAAGTGCAAAAATTGAGGAAGTCTCGCTGAATTGCTGCGTTTTTGCTGTTGTCAAGTTTAAAAACTAAGGCAGTCTCGCAGGATAACTTCGTTTTCAAGCTTGCAGATAGACAGACAGACAGACAGACAGGCAGAGAGATAGATGGATGGATGGATAGGTAGGTAGATAGGTAGGTAGGTAGGTAGATCGATAGATCGATCGATCGATCGATAGGTAGACAGATAGATAGAGAGACAGAGAGAGATAGATAGATAGATAGATAGATAGATAGATAGATAGATAGATAGATAGATAGATAGATAGATAGATAGATAGATAGATAGACAGATAGGCAGGCAGGCAGGTAGGTAGGTAGGTAGGTAGATAGTCAGAGAAAGAGAGAGAGAGAGAGAGAAAGAGAGAAAGAGAGAGAAAGAGGAGACCTCAACCACCTTTCGGTCCATCAGTGGCTCCGTGATTCACAACAACCAACCTCTCCTTTTTCGGTTTCCTATTTTTGAAACTTCCGCCACCGCCGACCGCGCGTTTCTACTGGTAATGTATAATCTTGGTTGATCTGTAGCTATTTGACTCGTACAGTACCAGGAGTTACGACAGGCCTTGGCCGAGGCGCCGTCCGGGACACCTTATAACCTTGGATGGCCGATGGCCGCTCGGGAAACGCCCTTTTATGGCCCGAGAATTCAGGTGAGTGAAATATGATAACTACGATGTTATTATACCCAGAAACATGGTAAGTTTATCATGGAAATTCCAGTGGATTATAGTGAATGTGGGAAATTCTAGTAGATAAAAAAGTGGATGATACAAGGGTCATGGTTTAAAACCTGGTTTAAAGCCTGGTTTATCACGATTTTTTGTGAAAAAAACACAACACGACATGAACGCATCGGAGGTGGGCATCGGAGCGCAGGAGGAAGATGTTGCTGAGCTCCTACGAGGCGGGTCAACATTGAAGCATGAAGCATCTTGAACCATGTTGAACCATATTCCAGGAAAGGAAAACTACGGAAAACTAGAAACTGTATTTTTACATTCATTTTTTTACATTCATTTAGAAACATTCATTAAAGTTTTAATTTTCAAGCCATGTTAGTAACACAACTTAAGTGGATTATAAAAACTCTGTGAATCATGATGAATGGATCACCAGGCATGGACGTGGATGGCAGCGGTACCGTTGACTTGGAGGAATGGTTGTTGGGGAACCGAAAAACTGCACGGGATCGGGATCATCGGGATCACGGCACCAAACTTCTGAAATCGGACCTGGCGATTTCAGAAAATCAGATTGGGAAAACATGGGAAAACGCGAAAAAAATCATCACGCTATCATACGCTATCCAACTCCCTGACTATTCTGTTTTCACATTGTGTTCACATGTTTTTTTGCGATTGGTGAAGAGACATGTTCTGACATGTTCTAAGGCGTGTGCTGCGTGGTCCCCTAAGTCCTGCACGCGCCGCCGTCGTGCGGGAGGTGCGGCTGATGTTGGTTCCTGAGAGCCTTCAATGCGGATATTGGGCGGTTGTTCTGTTTCAAATGTGACATAGAGAAGGTCCAGTGGAATGAAGTGACAAGACATAACAAGACCTGAAGTCAGCTAGAAACATTTGAAACCAATCCCACTGAGTTTTGCCTTTCACCGAGCTGGGTGAAGTGATCTGTTTTGCATAGCCTTGCATAGTTCCAAAGCATATCAGGGATCAAATTTCACAGCCCCAATCTATGAGGATCTCAAAATGGGAAGAGGCTGGCAGTCAGTACTTAGATTCAGTCAAAGACTTTAAAGGGCAACGCAACTCGAGTGAGTTAAAAGATCTAAGAAGTGACTCAAAGCAGGATGTCTCCAACATGTTCTAGGTACATTGAAAGCATAATCTTGATTTTTTAAATTTACCCCCCAAACAGACCTGCGGTGTTGGGAGCAACCCAGAAAAAGTGATGAATCATAGCATTCAGAAATCATTTTCGCGTGACTTTCCCATACTTTTCCATCAACGGAGTGTCAAAGAGTGTCAAAAACTGCACAGAGCCACAGCACAACTGCACATTGCTCTTTCGAATCGTCTCCGTTCTGCTCAAGCCTGGCCAAAACCCGACAAAAGTCGAACATTTCAATGGACAAGAGTGGAAGCCCTAAGAGGCGAGAGGATCATGGGAATCATGGGAATCATGGAGATGGGTCTTTCAAAGACCTCATTTTGATGACCTGGATGTGCACATTGTGCACCACGTCCACCCTGCCACGTCTAAACTGACCTTGGGTCAGGTCAGCAATTGAGGCCACATATTGAATGTAGATCCTGCGGGTGTGTCTTCGAGGTTTTTGTGTGGGTGTATAGCTCACGAGCACGGTGAATCATAGTATATCAATGTATATCATAGTGTCATGATAGTGAGGATGCCATTCAGATGCCACTAGGCCTTTCCAAACATACAGATGTCACAACATGTCACAACATGTCACAACCACACGAAAACCCTGGCTGTCGTCATCCCCAAAAGCTGTTGTCACCGGTGGGTCTCCGAGATCCAACCGATCCAACCGATCCAACCGATCCAACCGAGCTCCAGGCATGAGGATACAGATATCAGTGATGCGGAGAGTAGTATCAGTGGCAAGAGTGGGAAATCTGGTGCTTCAAGCTTGCTCTCAAGGAGCCGTGGATTCGTGGATTCATGGATTCGTGGGAGCTACAAACTGAAGCTTTGGAGAAGCTGAGACTCTCCTGTTTCCGAATCCTTGCAGGAGATCGCCGAGGCGTTCGGGCTTGAGCATCACTAGCGGCAGAAACACAGAGGACCGGACGCTTCGTCGCTTCGCAGTGCCCCATTGGTTCCCTTCAGATCACCCAGTCTGCATCACCAGGACCTAAAGACCTATAAGGATCTTCTGCTGCAAAGAGGATACCACATAACAGGCCTGTCACGGGGACGGCGTGGCCAAGGCAGTACTGTAGGGACTGGGTCTACTTGAATGAGGCAGCCACTCTGTGCAACTGGGTATTTTACGGTATTTTGGTGTAGATGATGGTAGATGGTCACCGCAGCTCATCTTCATCCATAATCCATAATATATTTTTGGCTCTGCAAAAAGTTACTTATGCTCACGGATTGCTCATGGATGCAGGTGGTCACGCCTGATGTTGCTCCGATCCAGTGGTTTCAGTGTCAGGCGTCCTTGGCCGTGGACAGAATAGCGGTTTTGTGGTCCACTCAGCTACCAAAGACGGTGAGACTTTTGCAGTGAAAGTGTCTACGGAATGCGATGAGGAGACAGTGCTCTCAAAACTGGGAACGGGAGAAGGATCATATCTCAACAAAACTGGGATGAAAGATTGGAATCAGAAAAATGTTTCATATGGGATAACTTCGGATAACCATGTGTTTCATATATATATATATGTGTTTCTTGAGCTTCATGGAATTTTCAAAAAGTCTCAGATCGAAGAGTGACAACCACGTCTTTTTGTCCAGCCTGGATTGGCTCACAGAAGTCTCCGGATTTGGATGTCCTGAATTTCTCGATGATGTATATATAATTACTGCTTCGTGGTTTCAAACATGTTGAAAATGGTCCATTTCATATATGGGATGTTATCCTTCCCATTGACGAACTCCATCACGTTTAAAGATGGTTTTTTAACCACCAACCAGGTATGATTGTGTATGTAGACATTGAATATTTATGTATAATATATAATATATACACATATAATAATATACATATTGAGATGGTACAGTGGGAACAAGTCATCAAGATCATTTGCAATGATCCAAACTGACCTTCCCATAGAATGATCTTGTATCAAAGTTGCTTAAGGATGCTTATGATCTTGCTCAGCAATTGGCCCACTTATCCTTCACCAGGAGGGGACCAATGGCGCTACACTACGGAGGGAACATCAAATCTTAAGCAGGCCGGGGCCGTCCCGTGATTTGGGGGGGATGCTGGCGTCATGGGGAGCTTATGAAAAGCTCGGTAATGAATCACTGAATCATCACAGCATCTGAAGATATCTGAAGCATCACTGCATCACATCACTGCATCACATCACATTCACATCGCATTCACCAAGTTTCTCCGATGTACTTCCCGATGTACTTCCCTCAGCAAGGCCCAGCTTGTTGTAAACCATCCCTGACAGAAATTGCCCATGACTGTTGGGTCTCGTGCGGGGTGGCTCCATGATTTGGTCGTTGATGTGCCACGATGTTGCCACGATACTTTCGGCTACAGAAAAGAGCAGCGTTTACACACAACATTGTCACACAAATATGGGTATGGATCAATACCTATAAATACCATTTTTAGTGGGATGAACATCCATAAATCCCAGCTATTTTGATGTGAACAAAAGGGGTACAAGGTTTTGACACACTGCCATATCGTTGTCACATACATCAGAAAGAACCTTTCCCCCACCTACCTTTGTTTGTTTCACCTATTCATTTGCTGGAGGATATTCTTACGTGGGGTCATTCGGTCCTTTAGTTATTTTGTTGTGATTTTCAAGGATAAGACCTCCTTGCATTAGCTTGCTTTTCATCGGAAGACCTAACTCCTTGACAACCTCTAGCTATCTAACAATCAATTTTATATCATTGTTCCTTTTCAAGCCCTGGGATAGTACCTCAAACGGTGTGTTCAGACTATGATTTGGAGCATCTTTGTTCCAAATTCATGTCGCCTGCCCCCAAATTCTTTTTTCGGATGTGGATTAGCTCGTTTGTATCACCATGGACTGAAATCAGAACGTTATCACCAAAAGATTTGTTGATATTTGTTGAATGCAATGACTGATTGGTGCTTTGGAAATCTTTGGAACATTTGTTGATTTCCAACCAGATCTGATTTAACATTGTACCCGACCTTGGAACCTTGGAACTGCATCGGCCAGCCCCAGGCTATCACATGAGAACATTGTCAAGGTGCCGACCATGCAGGGGGAGCTTTCCAGAGCAGAATGGGACTAGACTTTGGCCTGGGCCAGCCATCCTCGAAACGGCTCTCCGTGTAAAACTAGGTGGTGTGTTGATCCCAAGGTTTCCATTTGAAGCGCACATGATTCCAATATCAAAAGGGTATACACGAGAAAAAATGGTGAGTACCCTCTGGTAATGACTGACATAGCTATTGAAAATGGCCATAGAAATAGTTGATTTACCCATTAAAAATGGTGGATCTTTCCATAGCTTTTTGTATGTTTCCCAGAGGGTACCATGGCAAGAACAATGTACAAAGTGTACTGGAACCATGTCCCTTTGATATGCATCGAAAAGTTCAGGACTGCTGAAAAAGATCAGCAGACCTACCTGTAAGGCATGCTACTAACGCTAGTTTATCATAGACCAGTCATCATCTGGATATTGTGTCAACAACCTGGTATTTTCTTGGAATGATTGACAAATCTACAATTCTTTTTTGGACCTAGGGTGAAAATATCTCTCAAAAATATCTCCCTTTTTAAATGATTATCTCATCTACAAATCATCAGATTGATTTCGGTGAATCAAGCTGCCAATCTAGCAGCCAAAAACCCATGCGTTCAGGTCTCGGCCATGTGGAATGGCGAGGTCGGGGACGGTGTTCCAGGCCAGGGATCCCAGGGATCTCTGATATCACCAGGGTATCCCATGGCATCCATGGTACGCACATAACGAACTAGTTACTGGGGCGAATCTAAACCAACAAACATCACTGGGCCTCACATTGCTATAAATCATCATTTATGTGGGTTGTATAAATGGTTCTACCTGGTGCTTTGGAATATGAATGTTGAAAATGTTCCATTTCATATATGGGATGTTATCCTTCCCATTGACGAACTCCATCATGTTTGAAGATGGGCACATTGCACCACCAACCAGATGATATTGGATGAGTAATCCTATGCTTTTGAGGTACAACGTGATTTTTTAATGTCAGAGAAATCTTCTATTTAGTGGTTCAGTGCTCGAAAGTTGGGTGCGGATTGGGGCAGGGTCCCAAGCACGCAGAAGCTGTTGAGTCTGTTTTTTGCACCTCTGGAGCTGTTGGCGCGGCTTCTCTTTCTGTATGAAATATGATGGCGGGGTTTCCAGGTTCCAAACCATGTTCCAACTGGCTTCCAGCAGAGTGGGTTGGGGGTATTGATGGGTATTGAGGCATGGAGATTTGCAACAAATGTCTGTTTGTGTTTGTGTGATGTCCTATGCAACTCGATTGAGGCAATCTATGACTTGACCCCGACCCCACCGCCACTCCAGCCCTCGGTCGAAAGGGGATTTCGATGGATTTGGCTGAAATGCTTGAGATCATATGAAGGTTCCTAGCTTCAGTACCCATGGCTACCCCAAAACTATGGGAATATACTAAAATTGTCAAAATTTAGATGATTTGGGGGTACCACCCCAATTTAGGATTTTTTGGAAAGCCCCATATCCACGATAATGCGACCCTGGCTATGCTTGGGCTCCCTCCACAGGTGCTGCTATGGTGTTGGAGTATTGCAAAGGGAGTACACTGAGCCGAACCTTTGCTGCCGAGAATCACTCCATGACCAGAATCCGGGTTGGCTCGATGATCATGATATATCATGATATCATGAGCTGCTGGTAGTTTCAGATTCGGATGATTGCTGATGGCAATTTGCAGATAAGCGACAGCGCGGAGGTCCAAAGTAGCATAGATTCGACACTTGTAAATGTTGGACTTTTCAATTGCTTTACGAACGGTTAGTATTATGTTAGTCTTATGTTCATGTATTTTCTGCTGGAGATCCTTTGCTAACTTGATGCACTAAGGACATCTTCCTTTTTCTTCACACCGCGAAGTGGTGTCGCATCTCGCAACTGGGCGAATGATTCGTCGCGTGACACGTGTGACAACCTGATCGCAAGGATGGTCCACAGCGGGGGGATGGTTATCAGTCCATAAATGATGCGTGAAATTCCATGAAATCGGATGACCATAGCCCATATACATCGTATACTATGTTTTGATATGTTTTGATATGTTTAATCATTCATGGCTTATGGATAGCTTTTTGTATGTTTACCAGTGAGGTTTGACAGGTTCGGTGGCAGATGTGACCTGGTGAAGCAACTGGCCCTGTGGATTTCGTTAGGCCTGGAGAAGAAGTTGCCTCCAGCAGCTGGCAATTGCAGTCCCTTGGAACCACCGGGAAAAACAGCAGGAGATTTCCGGATCTGGTTGGTGACTGGAACCCATGGAATGGATTAGCCTCTGGTAAACAAACCTACAAAAAACTATGGAAAGATCCACCATGTTCAGTGGGTAAATTACCCACTTTCTATGGGCTATGTTCAATAGCTATAATTTAAATTACCAGAGGGTATGACTTTCCAGAAACAGAAAAGGGAATGGAATAACATCCCAACTGTTGCTCACTCCTTCATTTTTCAGAGGGGTAGGTATACCACCAACCACTGTTTTCCTTACAAAAATTCCATCCGGAAATTGATTTGATTACCAGTTTGGCACTACATTCTGAGCGACTTCAAGCCAACACGAAAATCATCCTGAGAAGTATTCCCATATGTTCCGATGAACTGGTGAACTGTTCAAATGATTCTCTGTGTTTTAAGCTGAGCCTGGGAAACCCACGAAATGCTGACATGAAAAGCCACATGAAAAATTGACAAGATCAGAGAATTGATTCAACGCCGACTATGGTGAGATGCTATTGTGACAGACCAAGATGCCTCCACTTTGTAGGGTTTTTTGTTCGTGGACTCTCCGATGGCTTGATGGCTTGTCTGCCTGCCTCACCTCCTGGAGATAGACGCAGGTTGCATATCTCCGCTCGATGTCACTTGCACCTTGGCATCACCCGGCTCGACCGGCTAAAATATATATGGTTAATAATGGTTAATATATGGATATATATATATATATGTAAGAATTCAAGTTAGCGGAGTTCTTTTTTCATCCGGCTAAGAATTCAAGTTAGACCCCCTTGTCCTGTTCGCCGGCAGTGACTATGTCAAAGCAGCTGATAGTTTGACTACCGAGTCGAGATACGTATATTATTATTATTATTTATTATTAATCAAAAAAATTATTATATATATATAATTATATTATGCAGTTTTGTGCTCCTGGGGCAGGTGTGGTGAACTGTCAATCATATTCCTGCTGCAAGATTCACTCGTGATGCTACGTCAGCTACCCCGTGCTTGACCCGAACATGCGAACGACCATGAAATCGAGAAAGAAAAAGGCAAGGTGTGATACAGGTTGGTCTATGTATTTGTGTAATATGTATAAATATATATATATATACATACATACATACATACATATATATATATCATATATATAATATATGTATATATATATCATATAATATTTTTATAATGTAATATATATATAATATATTATAATATAATATAATATAATATCATACAATATAATATACTTTGATGTGATATTATATGATATGAAATATATAATATTATATTATACATATACTCTATTTATATATATACATACATTATATTATATTATATTATATTACATTATATTATATTATATGTTTATATTATATTTTTATATTAGAACATTTTATATTATAACATTTTATATTATAACATATTATATTATACCATATTATATTATAACATATTATATTATAACATATTATATTATAACATATTATATTATAACATATTATATTATAACATATTATATTATAACATATTATATTGTATTATATTATATTGTATTATATTATATTATATTATACATGGCACTTACATGCACATATGCCACATTTCAGCATAGATCTCAACCTTGGAATCTGATATTTTAGACCCAAGGCAGGCAGCCAGCATCAGAAACGGATGGTAGCCGCAAAAAAAAACTGGAGATTGTTGGCTTTACCACAGTAAAGATGTTGATAATGGTATTCCCACTGATGTTGATTGTTGATGATGGGTGATTCTCTATTCAGAATCCATGCTCAGAGCATCAATAGTTTTGGCTAGTGATGCGCTCCACCATCTCTTGTTTTTTCCTTTTGGACATACATCCGACTTTGTTGTCAGAAAAATTAATGATATCAATGAAGCTTTCTGACCGCTAAGGAGCACAGGGATTTGCATGCCAGGAATGTCATGGTGGAGTTTCCTTCTCGTATCCTGGCAGTGTACACAGCCACAAAAAAGATATGAGTAGAAAAAGAGGCCAGATGAGACCGGTTTCCTTGTGCCACTTCAGTTTCACTTGGGTAATTGGGATGCGTGGAAACCGCTTCCATGATGTTGTTTCATTGATGTCCTTAAATTGTCCAGCATTGATCCCTTCGACAGATATATCATCACTTGAGCCAAATCATGGTAAACCATCACCAATGCGTAGTTTGTCTCATCAAGCAATATTAGACTTCAGCGCTCTTGGCTCGAAGTGCTATTATATGCTATTATGATATTAATTAAAATCTATGATGTAGATGCGTCCTGGACGTCATGGTCAGTCTTTAATGGATCCAAGATGATCCTGGACTTAGGTTTGGAAGTTTCGCCATCAGAGTGTCCAGTGGTCGTGAAAGTGGTGGATTTTGGCTGTTCCGCTCCAACTGACTGCGACAAGGTCATGGAGGATTCGGTCTGACCGAGTTTAAGGTTGTGCAGAGATGACAAGTCTCCTGCAGTTTCCTCTGGCGTTGGCCCGGTTTTTCTGGTACACCACAATTCGCTTTCGTACCGAATTCGATCGAAAGCGAAAAAAATCATCGTGGATTCAAAAATAGAAATCCCGCTGAGATCCTCAGGAGGATGTCAACGTCAACATCTTGCCTGTCGGCTCCACAAAGCCTTGCGTCCCTTGGCGCCAAACTGTGATCGGATACCTTTGACCCACAGCGAGTCATCTTTCCAACCCTTGGGCGCTGTATCAACTCGTTGGGAACATGTCGCTTCATCGAGTGCACAACAAATATACACATGGGTCATTAAATGTCCCCATTGAACATCACCCAACCATTAGGTATATGGTCTATAATGGCTACTATAAGGTGATGTCCAATATTCCCAAAATGGGACAGTTACCAACCCCTGATACACCACTCTTTGGTTTTCACCTCTTTTGGCCATTTTTTCGACCAGTCGATCTGAGTATTCAACCAGAATTTCAACTATATTCAACCATATTATGAACCATATTCAACCATTCAGGCCGCAGGCCACATCTATATATGTGTCCTTGGGGGATGGTCAGTGTCACTATGGCACTATGGGATGAGCTGCAGCTCATCCATTCCATCACCCGAGCACATATCCCTGCGCAAAAATATTCATAGCTGCACAAAAATCATCTTGCTAATGATGGTAAATCAATGCAAAACTTATGACAAATCAATATAATCAATATAATCAATGAGACCATGATCGAGCGTTCATACAGGACCATTCGACCATAAGCGCTGATGAACTGAAGTATCCACCATCCCGTGAAAAAAAAACACGATTTAAAAAGACAGTTTATAGAGTTATACCGTTCTAACCAATAAATGACGTGTTTTGATCCCATGTTTGTTGCTTAAATTCCAATCACAAGAAACTCACCCTCAATTTCAGTTCAATCACCATTTATAACATGAACCGCAATAACATGATAATTTACGAAAATCCGATTGATGACATTCAAAATCACCCCTCAGAATCCCATGTCGTCATGGGGGTATGGGGCTTTCCATAGTCATGTACCCCCAAGTTATCATCCATTTTAGTAGTATTGTGTAGTATTGTTCATGATAAAGCGATGATTTTGGTCAAAACTGACTGTGGAAAGCCTGGTTTTTTTAAGGATTCGATTTGAAAATCGATGGTGATTTTCCCTGAAATTGTCTCAACCCCCGATGTCCAGGACGTGTTTGCACTGGGACTGCTGGGTGTAGCCCTGTTGGCGGGGAAGGAGATTTGCAGCTGGGGGGCGCCTTGGATCAAGGCAAGATACAGAATATATATATATATAGTATACTACCTATTGAGATACATGGAATATTTAGTTATATATATATATAACAATATATAACATTTAAATGTGGATATATATATATATACTTGCATCGATTTGCAAAATTCTATCTCTATATGTAAACATATTGGTCACCCCCCATCTCCACTTTCGTCCTTGGACAAATGCTCCACTTTGCTCATCTCCAAATCTCCCAATCTCTGACGACATATTTTCATCCTTCGTGATCAACGTGACGTCACTGATTTTGATTAGCAAGAGGGATCCTTTCACAATCCTCAGTTCATCTTATCTCATCTCTTGTCTTCCAAGCTATTATCAGCTCTTATCAGCTCTTCTCAGCCTCAATTCTTGTCGGCCTTTCTCAGTTCAGCTTTTCTCTGGCCCAAAACTTCTTCCAAAACCGGATGGATCTCAGCACCAAAGCCCAGAACCGAAGTACGATTTGAAGCTTTTAAGAAAGAGATCTAAAAGGAAAATGGAAACAGAAACGCCTATTTTAACGACAACAATCATCAAAACTCATCACCGCAACCTTTGCGCAGCCACCTGCGATTTGCAAAGCACCAAGCACTGGGAAACCCAACGTCACTTCCGCGGGGTCAATCCGATCAGGAACGAGACCGTCTGTCTCCACCACCTCCCCGGCTTTGTACCACGGAAGTTTAGCACCCAAACTTCTGTTGCTAACCTGGACCTTCCAATTGGCACGACTTTTCTGCTTCATTTTTAGCTTGGATTTATGCACATGTTGACGCATTTCTGTCCTGACAGAAGCATTTACATTCATTTCCCGAGAAATTTCGCTCAGAATTGTGGTTGTAAAACGGACAAAGTGGAAATCTTGCCATTGGCGGCACAACGAGGAAAAACGGCCCCAAAAGCATAAATTGTTCAAATGAGCATTTTTGTGCGCTCTTTCGAGGATGCAGGTATAGCCCAATCTCATAGAATATGTTTGATGAAATAGTTGATAACGACAATAATGATAACGAAAATCATGAAATTGATAATAGTGATACTGATCATGGCAATATTGATAATAGTCATGTTATATATATATATATATCTGTATGCTTATTAATTTATTTATTCATTTGTTTATTTATGAGTAGAATTTATGTAATTGTCTAATTTGGCATAATGTAATATAACTTAGTTCTTAGATAATATACATGAATCTAGTACAATGTAAGATAGCGTAATCGAATTTGATACAATATAAGATCATATCATATAGTTTCATTTGTTTGAAGATAGTTGCATAGCAGCTGATTCATGTATGGTAAACGAAAAGATACTATTTTCTTTGTGGTTTTCAACAAAAATATAATCCAGTATAATCTAACCCTTTAATCAGTACAATTTGGAGCTGCTCGCCTTGGAAATAACCAATGATGTTTTTTCCATTGACTTCCTCACTTTTGATTCGCAGGTTTAGCCTTCCGAGGTGTAGGCACCATTTTTGTTTATAGTTCTGGATTTGGTCTTTAAAAATATGAAATATAGTGATATACTAAAGTATATGGATATTCCATTATATCGTGGATATATCAGTGATATACTATAGTCTATAGTGTTAGGCAACCAAAAAAAAACGTTTGGCAATCTTTGTTGTTGCCACATTACTGTACGCCGATTGTTTCATTGTGCGATTCGCAGACGCCCGATCAAATCCCCCCTCATTCGTCCCCTATTTGATGCACATCACAAAGTGTGGCCAATATAATTTATGCAAATACATAATAATATGTATACTGTATATAATTAGTATATATATATATACACACAGGTGTCCCTTCAAAACCTTCAACAATCTTCAACCTTCACCATCGAAGCGTCAATCATTCAATCCTTAAACATTCAAATTTTGAAGCTTCAAGCCTTGCACCTTGAACATTTAGAAATGAAACGTGGAAGCCTAACCTTTTTCAAAGTGAAATTTTGAAGCGTTAAACCTTGAATACCTTGAATGTCAAGCATCGAAATGCCTCGAAATGCCGGAAAAAAGTGCAAGTTTGGGATCTTCAAGCCTTGTTCACAAGCCTTTTTCACAAGCCTTTTTCACATCCCTCAATGCACATCTTTACCAGGTGGTTCCCCCTGAGGGATCGGAACTCCGTCTGCCACCCTGTGGGTTGACACTCGGCACTCCCCGGAATTTGGGGGTGGAAGTTTGGGCCATTGGGCCATAAAAAAAACCATACCCTCTGGTAAACGTTTACATAACTATGGAAAATCACTGTTTTTTTTACGGGAAAACTCACTATTTCTATGCCCATTTTCAATAGCTATGTTAAATTACCAGAGGGTAAGCAATGGGATTTGGTTGATGATTATCTCATGACCAACTTCCAAATGTTGAGGAAATTCCACTGATATTTTTTTCTGGGTAAATTGAATAACGACCGAAGCCTGTTCTCCCTCACTATAATCATAGTAAGGGGAATCATCCCCATGTGAGGCCTTAATTCAGGGTAGTGAAATATTATAATTTACCCAGAATGATCTGCCTTTTCATAAGCAATGGGATTTGGTTGATGATTATCTAAAAAAATTGGATTTTCTGGATATCCAATCGTTTTTTTGATGGTTTTTGATGGGCCATAAGCCAAGTAACCCCAGATATCTACAAGTTATACCTTGTTTTGACCATGGCGCTAGTTTGCTGTGGTTCTTTGATGTGTCGAATCATGAAAGCCTGCATATCTTGAGCCTTGAGCCATTGCTCATGGGCACATGATGCTGAGTTCATCAAGAGTTTGCAATGATGTACGCGATGAACATATCCAAAGCGGGCAAAAGTAGTTGGAACAATGTTGGAACATATTGCTACCTCCTCCGTGAATGTTTTTGAGGCGGGAAACCCTACCATGTGGGGATGGTTGGAATCCCACCCATTTCTAGTGATTTGGGGCTGGTATGGGCTAGTTCATGATGAGGTTTACCACACTTACTTGTATATGTGTTTCCATTTTTTCTGGTCGTTCCACAACTTTGTGGACATGGAAATGTCAGTGGTTCAGGAAAGAATTTCGTCTCGCGAAACCCTTCGAGGACTATTTGCAACTTGGCCTCATGGTCCCATGATTTTACGATAACTCCGGCAACATTCCCTCGGCAAGAGCCATGTGTTTGCTGTGTTTTCTCATATGGGTATGTCTGAAAATGGGGTATACCCCCAATTATAGCCATTTAGTAGGGATAGTGATCATTAACCATTGGGTGTAGGGGTACACTATTTTCAGACAAACCCATATCTTCTAACCGATTCTAACCGTTCGGCTTGGGGATATGGTGGCTTTAGGACGGCATGGAATTTCTTATGGCTGGGGAGTTGGATGAGTTGGTGGATGCCTTGAGGATTCAACAAAAAGTCAACGTTTCAGCGCAGGGGTCAACTTCTCAAGGATGTGCTTCATGGTTCAGTTTCATTTGCCCCCATAGCAGTCATTATATATATATATCATATTATATTTTATTATTATATATATATATATTTATTATATTATATATATATATATTATATATATATTATGTTATGAGATATGGTCATATACAATTCGAACATGATAAAACATATCAAAAGCATCCGAATCGGAATTCATTTATCAAATCCATTTATTTGGATCCGCCTGAGGCGAACGTTGCTTGATCTGGACTCTGAGAGGCGTTTGAAGGCTCAAGATGCTGCACCTCGGTACAGATGAGGACGGTACCATCAGTACCATCGGAAAGTTCGGCGCATGATTTCCATGATCAATGGGAGATCTTCAGGATCCAACTTATGGAGGTACGTTAGTACCATATAAGGGAGGTACGTTAGTACCATTTTTTAGGCCATATTTTCTGGGGATATTTCCTGGAACATAGGCCTGAGAAATAGGCCTTATACATGGTAGGTAGCTCCAATTTAGGTTCCTGAAATGGCCATTGACATGAGGATTTTCATGTGTGGATTGTTTTTTGGATGACAGAAATCTGGGTCAATCTTAGATGGGGAGAAACTAATCCTTTAGTCTTTTGGTATCAATGGGAATATCTACGTTCACCAGCAAAGATTTTTTTTTGCAGGGTATCTAAGATTGGCAATGGAAATCATCCAAATTTGCAATTGAATGGATTTGTGTTTTTGTTTCAGATGTGTCTTCTAGGCGAAACAGTGTTTCTTCCCTCTCGTTTAGCAAAGCATTGCAGATTTTTTTCCCGGTGGGATTACATCCAACAGATAGACGTCCGAGTCAAAGATTCAATACTTTAGCTTGACAAATAAATTTAACAAATGGTTTCGGAGAGATGAAGAGAGATGTGGGGAGGTGTAAACAGATCTACTATAGGTCCAGAGAAGAATGGACTAGATAGCATTGAGACTGGAGCGACTAACGGACTGCATTGACCGGTGCACAAGCAGCGTATTCAGATATATTCAGATGTATTCAGATCAGGTGCCCAGTGTTACATATGCAATCAATGGCAATCAAAGCATATGCAGAACAGAAATATTGAAGGCATAAATCCATATCTGCCCAGCTCCATGTGAATTCTGTGGTCATGAAACGACTCAATGACTCGATGACAACTGGAACCCCGAGGTGGACAAGCTTCCAGAAGACACTCGTTGGCTCATTCCCAAGAAGGTTTCATTGTGAGCCAAGTCCCAGTCAGCTGGGAGAAACAGATAGAAATACCATGAAATGGGCAATTGGCTCTTGATTTCACTGCTGATACGTCGTATTTCCTGGTCTTTATTCCATCCATAATATCCATAGGTCCACTGTATGCAGGTGTTTATTTCTTGTAGATCTAGTACCTGTTTAGGGCTCCGTTTCCAACTTCGGGTCGCAGCACAGATCGCACTACGAATCACGCATAATCACGCGAAGGGACTACCTGCGCTTCAACTAACACCGTGACTAGCAGGTTCTCTGTCAAAGGTGTGACTGTTTGATTTCCAAGTCAATTTTCGCAAACTCCAATCTTTTTGTACATCTTAGCCCTTAGCTTGTTGTGGGATCCTTTTTGGCTTTATGTTTCCTGCACGAAAAATAGCCTGAGGTAAGGTTTAAGGCGAAAAGAATGCAATAGAGCACCTCAAAAATTGGGTTTCACTCGCGTTTTTTTTCATCGTAAGCTATTCTTAGGTGCCGCAGAGTCTGGCACGGGGGTTAATCCACGACGATTTTTTGGGAAGTTGTTCAACATGGCTAAACTACCCTTTGGTTATGACTAACAGATTTACAGTTCGCCATGGAAAATCACCATGCTATTAAGTTCGGTAAACCATCTATTTCGATTAGGGCCATGGCTTAACCATGGCTAGCCCTGTGAACGTCATACCCAGAGGGTAGCTTAATGGATCCTCACATGGTATTTCAAGTTTGCTGAATTCATTCGCGGCCCTCCCAAAGGGCAGGGCTGGACCGGTTGTTTTCAACCGGTGAAAAAAAACACAGTGAAAAACTTCCGCGGAACGCGGAGCACATTGGAGTAAAGTGGAGCAGCGAAACAACACACAGAGTGTCAACACAGAGATTGATCCCATGCCTCCACTGAAATCAATCACAGGCCGGATTTCGATAGCAAGAAGATTTTTGAAGAAAACGCCTCTGCTCTGGGGGCTATAGCAAGCGGCTATTTTCCAGGCAGTCGTGGAATATGCCCCCGCCATGAAAAAATTCGCCAAAGCGGTCGTTGGCATTTCTAGAGCAAGTATTTCGCAAGTGAGTCCAGCCCAGGGGAGTGAGATTCCCAAAATTGCTTACCGGTCATCAGACGTGGCTGGAAAATCCCCGAAAAAGAGAATGTTTGATTGTTGAGGGTACTACCCATGATCCCCCTGAGGCAGAAAACTATGGCATGGCAAATAGAAGACAAGATCCATAGCATCAACAGTGGATGAACAAATCCTGGCTAGGTAATAAAAACCCCAAAGAGTGACAGTAGCCAAAAAAAAGAAGCGGGCCTCCCAATTTGCAACGAAACAATGATATGACATGATATGACAAATCCAAGTTTCGTGTCAAAGAGTTGCTTTGTGGAATCAGTCTTAGCTTTTCAAGATATGGCAGTGTGTCAAAACCTTGTACCCCTGTAGTTCACATCAAAATAGCTGTTAAATGGATGTTCATCCCACTAAAAATGGTATTTTCATAGGTATTGACCCATACCCATATACTGCCAGGAGTTCAGATGGTGAGGTCCACACGAATAGTGGGATTATCCAAGTGGGATCTGAAGTCCCGGCATAAATAAATGTCCAACGGGGATTTCTGTCGGTCGTTTTTTATGGTCGTTGCATGCTCTGATGCTATTTCAATGATTTCAGGATGGGGATGAAAAATGGGGATTCCCCAAAAATCTCGGGGCATTTCGAAAAAACCCATGGATGAGACCCATGGATTTGATGAAGTTCATTGAAGTTCCATGGATTCCATGGTTCAGGAAATCCCAAGATTTCCCCTCAGATTTTCACTGGACTCAATTGCCATCTCTGCGTGGCGACTGACTGTCGTGTGAGATGTCCTGCTATGGTTTCTGGAAGGTAGAGACTTTGGACATAAGTTCTCGAAATTCCATACTGTCTTGTGGAATATTCACTCATATTCTATTGACTTCATCACTAACTATTTTATGGGGAGAATATGAGAATTTTCAGCAAATATCAGCATGAATCAACATGTGTTTTTTTCTTGACAGTGACACTACGAATACGAATATTGGATGCCCCTCTAAGTTCACTGAAGAGCTGCCTCGAAATGAGAATCGCTCACACAGGGTGATTCTCATGAGTCCTTCGGAGTCATTGATTCGACCACACGTAGGGAGGCTTCGGAAGCCGTCTGCTTGTTGACACCGACCGCTCAAGCCCAAAACGATGCTTTTCAGACCTTTCTGCGCTTGGGATGCCAGGTTTGGCCAGATGGTTCAGTTGGAATGTTGGAACTGATTCACTGACTCATTGATTCATCGATTAGTTGGTTCATTGATTCATTGGTTTATTGATTGGCTGGTTCGCTGATTCTTTGATTCATTAGTTCGTTGTTTCATTGATTCATTGGTTCCTTGATTCGTTCGTTCATGGTTTCATTGTTTTTATTGATTCATCGATTTATTGACTCATTGATTCCCGGAATCACTGATTCATTGCTTCATTCGGTCAGTTGCCCATGGGTTCTTTCATGTCTTCGACAGCTCATTGTTTCTGCATCTCAAAAAAAATATAATCATGTTATTGTTATAGTTATTTCCTATTGTCGAAGCTTCCGCCCGGCGCGGGCCGGGCACTATCTGGTCTACGCATACATATATTAGCTACATAAACATATGGAAATCTGCAACCATTCCACAATTTTAGGGTGGGCAAATATCAGGGTTGCAGCGAACATGTTTCAGGATCCAGAAAAAAAACAACACCATTCCACCATGAAATTCCACCATTGATGGACAATGACTATGCGCCTGGCCCGTGGCACCCCTGGGGCCCCTGCGAAGGTCTTCCAAAGCCTCCGAAGAGCAGATGGCTTGGTGGATGCGCGTACTTTGCGCGTACGGAGACCGAGACGAGTCTCGAAGTGATGATCTGATGCCACGAAATCATTAGGACTGGGTGACCGGATAGGATGGTCGATGGCCCGAAAATTTGGACCAAACATCCGCAGTTCGGCAGTTGAGTTTGGCATGGCATCCAGTGAAACCAGGAGATGCGGCTTCCCACAAGTCAACAGTTTCGATGGATTCAAAGAAAATCTGAATAGAACGGTTTCACAAGCATTGCCAAACTTCCAAACCATTTCAAAACCAGTTCATTTGTGCACCAGCTCAACCCAGTGAACTGTGCATTTTACGCGACTCAGGCGCGTTTCAGTGCTTCCAAGCACCCAGATGTTGAGGACAGACTGGGTGAGGGCCTGATGATGGTTGTAGAAGTGCTGCTGTAGAAGTGCCTGGTTTTGGACTTAGGGTTCAGGTCTGCCAGTTGTTCCAGTGGCTCCGCAACGAAGAGATTCGAAGTTCTTCAAAAACAGGGTCATGAAGACTCTATATAATGCATAGAAGTTGTATATGTAGTGTATGTATATATATATATACACACTTGTAATTAAGCATAATTCGATAGCTCGCCGCGTCAGATTGACACAAAAGGCCGTAGGAAAACAAAAACACAACTATAATTGTTATATAAAAAATAGTTACATAGTTATGTAAATTGATGATTTTTTTGACTAGTCTTCCCCACATTCGTCTTCGATCACTTCGATTCGTCGCAGGCAGGATTGAAAGACGCCAAAGAGGTGCTGTAGAGATAGTGGCACAGTGGAAGTACCCGGCCTGGTTATGACGTTCACACTTCGCCATGGTTAAGCCATGGCCCATAGTTAAATAGATGGTTTACCGAACTTAATAGCATGGTGATTTTCCATGGCGAACTGGCAATGTCATAACCAGATGGTACCTATTGGAGTATAATTGACCAAATAGCATCAACTAAACTCAAACTCCTAATGTCAAGCGAAGAAACACAGCGGAAAAACACCACTTGTGTTCTGCATGGTTTAGCATGGTTTGATATGTGCGTGCAGTGAGAAAAAGAAAATCATCTTGAACTATGCAGACAGTTGTATGCCAAAAATCGCCAGGTCTACCAAGAAGTGATGACTCAAATCACCAGCCGAAGTGATAGGCGCTGGGTGCCCGTGTTGGGATTTACGTCGATGAATTCAATCCATCGGAAGCTTCAGACATGATAGCCTCTGGTAAACAGCCAATGGAAAGATCCACCATTTTACCATGCTATCAATGGGGATTCATCCACGATTTCGACTGGGCCATGGCTTCAATAGCTATGTAACACAAATTACCAGAGGCCCCTGTCACCCAGTCCCTGGTTTCTTGATGTTTCTTGATGTTTCTTGCAACTGAGATAACTGAGGTAACTTGAATATCTCTATACTCCAAGTCCAAACCCTGATCTAGTTATATTAAGATAAATCATCCCAAAAAAACGACATTTATATATATATATATATAATTATATATACATTTATACATATATATATATATAGATATTTAAATTAGTCATTTTTAGATTCCCCATGTTGCCGCAATGCCCATGTCGAACCATCCACAGAAGGATCTCCCTGAGCGATTTCGCCAAGTACTACGAACATCTTTCCGCAGGGCGCGGTGTCTGATCTCGCTGTTTCAACGGGGGATTTCCATGGATTCAGCACAAGAATTTCAGAAAACATTCACCATGGATCCATATCCCCCAACAAACTATGATGATATGGATGTTATGTTTTGTTTTCTATATATAGAACATCATTTATGCACATATCTATAGATGTTATGTTTTCTTATAGATATGATGTTCTATCATGCATGGATATCCCAATAACTTGACGAAATTGCAACCAACGTTCGACTATCCCGGACTGTGTTGGGTGACCTGTAATGGGCCACTGAAGCGAACCATGGGGCTTTTATGAACTAACCAGAACCATCATATGTAATGGGATACAATGGAATATCACTATCATTCACTATCAACATCAATCATCATGGAATTATGAACTAACCATCATTACTATCATTGAATTATGGAATATAACTAACCCATCAATACACGGAATAGATATTCACCAAGCGA